CTACTTTCTTGATGTATGGTTCTTTGGCTCAGACCTGGTAAGTTTGATCCACTCCATTAATATTCTTGAAATATCTGAAGATAACAGTTATCAGCATCCTCATAGTCAACCTTAATGTATTAACACATTGTTTTAACTAGATCATTTGTGGAGTGGGTCAACAATGTCATATATAGAGTCAGGGTTTGAAATTTTTAAAAACTTTTTAAAAATAATTGAAGCAGACAGAATGTTACTCGGGTAATAATATCCTATCAGATGTACTTTTTGAGTAGAAGAGAAAAAGTTTGCAGTCATCAAGCAGACAATTATATGTAAATCTCAAGCTATTTTATCTGTGACTAAACTGCCAATGAATACTTCCATAGGATTTGTCTTTCAGATAAATAACATTCAAAATAAGCACATGACATGTTATGGAAAAAACTTATTCAATTCCTACACTGAAAGAGAGCATGAAGATGAAGATCACTTGTTTAGTGTCATACGGGACATGCAGACACCAATGGAACAACCATTTCAGAAACAGACAGACCTTGCTAATTCTACACACCAAATGAGTGTGAAATCACCTACAGGCACAAGGCAACTGTCCCCCATGAAGTGTACACTGTGGTGTCATCTGTCTCCCATCGTGCGGGCTTGCAAAGTACACGGTTGGTTTTTGACACTGCCCTCAGGCCCATCTCTACCAGGGGAATGCGGGTGATTGGCCTGGGTGTCCTTCAGGCACTGTGCTCACAAAGTCGCCAGTGCAGATTCATCAGTACAGATTCCCTGTAGTCATGCTTGGGGACCACTAGAGTTGTGCACTTGCATCTGCTATGGGGACTATGGAATCATTTCAGTCCCAGCCCTGCCTCTGCATGTGCCCACCCACAAAGACCGCAGCTGCTATCATGGGACCCACCCCAGCTGTGGGAGCACTAATAACCCACTCGGAAGTTCATCAGGTACTGAGCTCACAAACTGACCACTGATGGTGTAAATCTTGATCACAGCTCCTGGGTCAGGGCTCAGATTTCAGTCCTTCTTCCTAAATTATGCAGCCCCTGGGCATAGGCTCAGATTTCAGCCCCGCCTCCGCTTGTGGACAACCCACCATTGCTTGCACACTGGAGCCTTGCCTTCAGTGAGCATGCTGAAAGTGACACTGTTATGGTGGGGCCCCGTCCCTCCTTTTATGCTTGTGTTAACAACAGGGCTTCTCTGATGGACCAGGGCCCGGCCCGTCTGCACCCTTGGTTGCTGCTTGGACTATACTCCAGCCCCTTGAGGCTGTTTCCATGGAGCCATCCCCAGTCCTCTCCCCTGGTCTGTCTGCTGAAGCTCAGATTTTAGCAGTCAGCTCCTGCACACCAGTAGACTGGCCCCTCGGACTGGGGAGCGCAGGGGGGTAGCCAGGACTGACTGTGCTGCTGGTTCTCCTTTCTGCCCGCGACAGTCTGGCGGCTACGCTCTGCTCTGAGCCTCTGAAGCTCCCAATCTATCCTGTCTGTCATCTCAGCCTCTGAAGGGTGTTCCTAAGGTAAGGGAAACTTTCTGCTTTCACAGCTCCCCTTCGGGCATGCTGGTTCCCTACCAATCCTTTGCTTCTTTCTTTCATCCTACCTAGTTACACTGTAACCTGTCTTGTAGCTTTGGTTGTGTGAGCTTGTCTGCCAGCATTCAGTAGGGATTCTGTGAGAATTGTTCCACATGTAGATGTATTTTTGATGCTTTTGTGGGAAGTGATAAGATCTACATCCTTCTGTAGATCCTTCTTGATTTCCCTCCGGCAGTTTTTTTTTTTTTTAATATAGTTTTGAGCACTCAGTTTAAAATAGTCATATGTAAATTAGGTAACCTGAGTTCCTAAACCCAAATAAATAACCATCAAAATAAACCTATAAAGGAAAAGTTTGGTACATTTGATATGCTAAAATTCAGAATATCTTTCATCAAAAGGCATCACTAAGAAAGCACAAAGGCAAGCCAGAGATTGGAAGAAGTTATTTGCAATATATATAAAGAATAAAACTCATATCCAGTGTCAGTTAAAAAAAAAGACAACCCAAATGAAAATTGAGCAGTACACAGGAAGAAAAGCAAATGTGAATGAGGTGCCCACCGTTATTTATAATCAAAGAATGCAAATTAAAATGATAGTGGGATAGAGTACACATCCACCAGCAAGTATTGGATGTACCAACAATATACATGTTGATGAGGATGTAGCAGAAGAGAAATGTCTATACACTGTCAAGTAAAAGTAAAATGCTATGGAACATAACTTTCTTTCAGAAAGTTAAAAATAAGCATAACCAGTATATAGTTCCTATACATGCTCATATGTATGTGTGCTACATTGTACTAATATACATGCTCATATGTATGCACTCTACAGAGAACTAATATACATGCTCATATGTATACACACTACAGAGTACTAATATACAAGCTCATATGTACACGCACTGCTACTGCAAGTCACTTCAGTCATGTCCGACTCTGCACTGTACTAATACACAAGCTCATATGTGTGCACACTACGTTGTATTAAAATACATGCTCATGTGTATGTGCACTACCCTGTGCTAACATACATGCTCATTTGTATGTGCACCACATTGTACTAATATATCCAAGGTTGACCATAGCAGCACTATTGAAAATATTGGGTTGGCCATAAAGTTCGTTTGGGTTTTTCTGTAACATCTTATGGAAAAGCCCTAACAAGTTTTCTGGCCACCCAATATTGAAAAACTGGGAACACCCAAATGTCCATCAGCAATAGAATGGATAAATGAAAACAAGTGAATTAGAACACCTTGGAATAACACAGATTAGTAAAATATGGAAGAAAAGCAAATTTCAAAGGAAAAAAAAACCGGCATAAATTCATTACAGTAAAGCTTAAAAAGAGGCAAAGAGGCAAAACTAAACTAACGTTTATTTATTTATTTTTGGCTGCCCTGGGTCTTTGTTGCTGTGCACGGACTTTTCTCTAGTTGCAGTGAGCAGGGGCTACTCTCTAGTTGCTGCGTACATGCTTCTCATTGTGGTGGCTTCTCCTGTCGCAGAGCACAAGCTCTAGGGCGTGCAGGCTTCAGTAGTTGCAGTGTGTGGCCTCGGTAGCTGCGGCTAGTGGGCTCTAGAGTGCAGACTCAGTAGCTGTGGTACATGAGCTTAGTTGCCCTGAGGCATGTGGAATCTTCCCGGACCAGGGATTGAACCCATGTCCCCTGCGTGGCAGGCAGATTCTTAACCTCTGAACCACCAGGGAAGTCCAAAACTAAAGGATTATAAGGTTGCTTGTATGAATGGCGATTACCTCTGTGAAGAGACTTTTGGCAATGGACATGTGTAGACTTTTGGGGCCCTGGCAGATTTTTTTTTTTTTCATAGTCTGAGTGGTAAATACATGAGTACTTGCTTTACAATAAATTATTGGACTGTATACTTGGGTTTTACGTGCTTTAGTTTTTGGTGTTATATTCCACAATATTAAAAAACAAATGAAACAGTTCTCTGTATACTGACATTAAACAATTCTTGAGTTTATGTTGTAAATGAAAACCTGGAGTGTGGAAAAGTGTATAAATTGGCTACTATTTATGAAAAAAAAGGAAGGAGGTATGAGGGAGGGAGAGAGAGACAGAGAAAGAAAGCTGGTGTTCATAAAAGAAGAGGGAATAAAAAACAGTGGTTATCTCAGGAGAAATAGGTGGCCAAGGGACAAGATTAGAAGAAAAATGCCTATTCATTGTATACCCTTTTGTACTTTTTGTATTTCACACCATGTAAATGTATTAGCTATACTGTGTGTGTGTGTGCTCGGTCATGTCTCTCTCTTTGTGACCCATGGACTATATCCTGCCACTCTTTGCAACCCCCTGAACTGTATCCTGCCTGGATCCTCTCTTCATGGAATTTTCCAGGCAAGAATACTGGAGTGGGTTGCCATTTCCTACTCTAGGGGATCTTCCCAACCCAGGGATCAAACTCCTGTTTTCTGTATCTCCTGCATTGCAGGCGGATTCTTTACCACTGCCACATGGGAAGCTCATTAACTATTCTAAATAAATAAATAAAAATTCCTAAAAAAAAAAAAAAGAAAAAAAAAATCCTAACAACAACACTGATTGTACTTATCCACAAGAGGTCACTATCGAATGATGTTGAACTCTAGTTCCTCATCAGAGAAAAACCAGTCTGAAGTTCCCTGCTCTCACCAGGAAGTTAAGCAGCATCTTCATTTACATTCTTACTTTATTTTACCTGTCATGTTCTGTTTTTTTAAAAAACCCTCCAATTCAAAAATATGCACAGAAATTTAAAATATACATTTAAAACGGAGCAAAAGAAAGCAAAGAACTGAAGAGACAGTATGAAGCAATGAGTGAATTTACAAAAAGCATAATATTAACCATTTTCCCTAGGATTAATACACAAATTAGATTCTAACGTTTCTAGCATTTGATACAAAAAAGGAAGTATTGTTAGTTTTATAATTCAAAATCTTGCTCAGGAGAATATTCAGAGTATGAAAAATGTTTTCCATGGTAGAGTCTGTTAAAGACAATCCTTTAGGTAAAATTCCTGACCAGTCTTAATAACAAGAATAATCCACAGAACAATTGGGAAACCACGCCATGCTCTGGGACACCAGATTAGGGAAGTTTCATTCATGGGTTAGTCATGGTTGAAAATGAAACTAAGAATACATGATATAAAAAAGGAAGAAGAAAAGCCACAAAACTTGTGCTTTGAAAATTCTGTCTTACACATAGGAGAGTGTTCAGTCTTCCCGTGGCTGGATTTTTCAAAATTTAGTTATTGCAACAAATTCTGNGAAACTAAGAATACATGATATAAAAAAGGAAGAAGAAAAGCCACAAAACTTGTGCTTTGAAAATTCTGTCTTACACATAGGAGAGTGTTCAGTCTTCATGTGGCTGGATTTTTCAAAATTTAGTTATTGCAACAAATTCCGTTTTTCCTAAAGTTGAGCTAATTGTCCTTCCGGCAACTAATGGGTTAAATGCTACCTTCTAAATTCAAGGAAAAACAGCCCTGCTCAAATGCCTTGGCTGGCTCACAAATGCAGGGCTTCAGGCAAAGACTGACGGAGGGAAGTCAGCATATAGGAGACAGTTTTCTCTGTGACAAGAACTGCAACAGCTATGAAAAACACTTCAGCAGTGATGGATTCTTCTGATATTCAAAGGAAAAATATAGCTGTCATTGGTGGTGGCTTGGTAAGAATCTATTTGGATATATTATTCCTGGTAGTGGTATTATATTATCATTACTTTTTTGCTTTTTTATCAGAAATTAATTGCTTTTATTAATATTTTTTTTTCTATCCATTTTACTGCGGTATTATTGACAGAGCACTCCATAAGTTTCAAATGTACAGCATAATGATTTCACTTACATACATTATGATTCCCACAATAAATTTAGTGAGTACTTCTCATTGCAGATAGATATAAAATAGCAGAAAAAGAAAACATATTTTTTCCTTGTAATGGGAACTATAAGAATTTACTCTCTTACAACTTTCATATACAACATACAGTGGCGTTAATTACATGTTACATCTGCGGTGCTTATTTATATTACAACTGTTAGTTTCTACTTTTTTGACCACCTTTGCTGTCGTATAAAGATATTATACCTCTAATCTTCCTCACCTATTTCACTTATCTTAATATTATTAATCACTTGTAAGGATTGTTCACTTTCTTTTGAAACTTTTCTGATATTTAAATACACCTTTTTAAAATGTGGTGTTAGTTTAGTTTGCTCTTTCCTAAAAGAGCTATCTTATTTCCATTAAATACAAAGGTGTCCATTTTCCCTTGTTTTTTCTGTACAGCATTTTTCAAAATAGAAAATAAAGCAAATTGAATTTGATTAATCCCCAAATAGACTATGTGTTAAAGCAAATATTAATGTAAATAGTCATTTTAATCAAAACATTTGCCGCTTTGGTTAATAACTCAGTTTGTACTGTCTAGTAAGAATAAAAGTGACAAGAAACATGAAGTTAATGCAGAATTATCACATTGAATTTTCACTAGTTATTTGAGTAAGTAGGAGTAATACTTATTCAGTCGCCCTATCTGGCTGGTCCAGTGGAGCTGGTCCTAAGTTGGTGGAGTGGGGCATAGAGCAGGTGAGATTAATGGGCTGAAATGGCCCCACATCTAGCAAGAAGAGGGGAGGGGGTGTCTCCTCTCTGCTTCCACTGTTATTGTATGAAGCCTAGTTCTACTTAATGTGGGGCTGCCTCAGTGAAACTGTATTTTCCCCTTCCTTAGCAGAACAACTATTTTGGAATCAAAATATCCCCATTAGTTAAAGTTTAATCATTTTGGCTTTGCCTTTGGCTTAATCATGTGCATGCTTTTAGACCATAGGTATTCATTTATTTCATTTACTCTGCAAAAATTTACTGAGGGCCTAATGATGTGCCAGACACTGTTCTAGGTCGTGTGTAGATGAGTACATTTTGTAGCACACATAGAGTTTTACAGTTTGTGCTAATTCTGACTTGGATGTTGCCTTCCTTTTTGTGTTTTCCCTAAAGTTCGATGACAGTTCTAACATTTCTGGTTTGCTATTGTTGTAGCCATGTGTTTCGGGAAACAAACTCACTCAGAAGGACAATGCAGATAGTCGAGTGCAGTTTATTACACCAGCGGGCCCAAGGGAGAGTCTCCTCTTAGCCAAGGACCCTGACCAGTTTTTGTGAAAACCTTATGTACACTAAGTGCATGTGCACAAACCTACCTCCCCAAATTCCCTGACAATCAAAGTTAACCCATGGTTCATATGCCTTAAGCCTAGGTAGTTAACAGTGGATAATTATCAATAGGCCTGTGGTCATGCCTCAATAAACATAATAGAACGTACAATTCTATTTGGTTACACAGATAGTTAGGGTATTCTTTTAGCGAGAAGAAGGCCTGGCTTTCCAGTTGATATGTCATTTCCATAGATACTGGGCATATAGCTCAGAGTCCACAGTCCAGCCCAAGATGGAGTCCTGCTTTCAAGATGGAACCTGTTCTGATTCCTCCTTCACTATCACATGCTGTGTTGGCCAATGCATGTGACATATGTCCTCATTTCTTCATACTTTGTACCTGGCTTCAACCCAATCGTTCCTATCAAAATGCATAAAATGTGAATTCATGGAGTCAACAAAATCCTGTTGGGTGCCAGCTATGTGCCAACATTGTTTTAGGTATTAGGAATATAGTGGTGAGCATTTAGGGAGGAGAAAGATGATGGAGAAGAAAAGTAAGTTCAGTGAGGCCTAAGAAATTCAAGTAGGGTAATGCTGTAGGGTCTTGAGGGTATCCATTTATAGAGTGTGGTCAGGGACAGCTTTTCTGACGAGATAAATGACCTGAAAAATGAGAAGGAGTCCATCGTGTGAAGGGCTACAGAAAGAGCATCTGGGGTAGATGATGGACTGTGGAGAAACAAGGAGGAGATAAAGAGCTGGGCACTTTTCTTGGAGAAGACAGAAAGGCACAAAGAATGAGACTGGAAAGGAGTAGACACTGAGGCTGGGGAGAGTGAAATAGTCGAGGTCCTAGGATCTTAGCGTGCAAGGCAGACAGATTTTATCCTAGACGCAATGGAAAGCCATTGGAAGATTTTAAGTAGGAAAGCAAGCCGTGATTTTAAGATTCCTTAGGCTGTTATATAGAGAAGAACTGGGGAAATTTCAAGACCAGGTAGACCAGTTGAGAGGCCGTTGTGTTTGTCTAAGCCTTGGACTAGGGTGACAGCTCTGACGATGGCTCTTAGATATCCAGGTGACAGTGAATGTCACTCAGTTGTGTCCAACTCTTTGTGACCCCCGGATTCTCCAGGCCAGAATACTGAAGTGGGTAGCCTTTCCCTTCTCCAGGAGATCTTCCCAATCCAGGGATCAAACCAGGGTCTTCGGCATTGAGGGCGGATTCTTTGTCAACTGAGCTAGGGGAGATAACAAATATGTGATTGGATATATGATTTTGGAAGGCATAAAAATGTGGGTGTCATCCACAGCTTTCTCCCTGAATAACACTTGAACTCTTCATCATCGAACCACTTCATTATCTGGGCACACATACATGTGCTAGAAAATGGAAGACATGGACTAATACACATATATTAAGAAGCAACTAAAATTCCTCTGCAAATGAATTCTATTCACCTTATTGCTCAGGTCCATACTTAGGAATCATGTCTGATTCTTTTTTTTCCTTTTACGAAAACCCCCATTCCTCTTTCATTCTACCAATAAGCCTTGGTGGCTCTATAATGAAAATATATTTCAATTCTGGTCATTGCTACCATGCTAGTTAGGGCCATCATCATTCTTTATCCATACTCCTGCAGCCTCCTCCTAAATGATCTCCCAGCTTCTACTCTTATCCATAGGCAGTCACACAGCAGCCAGAATCAACCTTTTAAATCATTAGTGTGATAATTACCATTCATTGCTTAAAACCTTCCATTACAAATAAAGTAAAATCTAAACTTGTTACCAAAGGCCCTACAGGAACTGAGTCTGTCTACCTGCCTGGCCTCATCTTTTCCAGGTTTTTGTTTTTTATATTATCTATCAGCACCTGAAATCATATACTTTATTTGTTTGGGGTAAGTAGGTAAGCTATTTATTATGCATCTATTCCTACAAGGATATAGCCTCTCATGGCTGGAACCACACCTAATATTGCTTAATGTCATTATTTAGTATTTGACAGACAAATGAATGAAAGGAATGAAAAACTCTTCTTAATGATATGAAGGTAAAAGAAATTTCATAATGGATGAAAGACTGAATATTGAGGAAATTAAAAAAAAATACTGATTACATAGTGATTCAAGAAGGTTAAATTCAATACATAAAGGACAAAATTATTTTCTTGTCCATCTACTTTCTTGTGTGTGTGTGTGTGTGTGTGTGTGTGTGTGTGTGTATGTTTCACCGTTCCCCTTATCTTACTCCCCATGGACTGATCCTAGTCTCTTACACTAGGATCTCTGATTGTGAAAGGCTGATACGCTAAAGGCTCTCTCTCTGGGCCCCAGGGGAAAATTGCAACAGAGCCCAGAACCTTTACTCAGAAGTCCAAATAATATAATGAACTGATTTTTTTTCCCCAGTGATACCTTGCCTAGTGAAAGATTACTCTTAAGAATTTGTCTTTGCTTTAATGCAGTGGTCATCTGATTCTGTGATTAACCAATTATTTCTGTTCTTTGAAGACATGTTAAGTCAAAGAGGTCAGAAAGAACCAATAGATCAATGAAGGAGTCTTTGAGAAACTAAACATGAAAGAAATTGTAAACCATGGTCATAAACTGGTTAAAGTTTATCTATTAAAGAGTGGGAAAAGACATTAAAACAGTTTTTCAAGAATGTTAATCTATTTACAAAAATCACTATACTCACTTAGTTATCTTACTTCTTGTGTGAAACACTGCTCCCAGTCCCTTCCAGGATTACCTCCTGGAAGCTGGGGGTGTAACTTCTGTGAATGCACATAGGACTTTGCTTGCCTTTATCACAGACTGCATTCTGTTAAAGTTATAGACGTAATAATTGTAAAGAGATAATTGTTTAGTCTTGTAAAGAGATAATTGTTTAGTCGCTGAGTCATGTCTGACTCTTTTGTGACCCAATGGACTGCAGCCAGCCAGGCTCCTCCTTCCATGGGATTTCCCAGGGAAGAATACTGGAGTGGGGTGCCACTTTCTTCTACAGGGGATCTTCCCAACCTAGGGATCGAAACCGTGTATCTTGCATCTCCTACACCAGCAGGTGGATTCTTTACTACTGAGCCACCCAAATTTGTAGATATGCATAGTTTATTCCCCACAGAAGCTTTTATAACTTCATGAGTCTAAATATTTTCTTATCTTTGGGTCCTGCTCCCTTTTCTTTTATAATGGTTATCCCAGTGCCTTGTACTGTCAAACACACTAAAATATCTTGTGTGCATGAGTTTGCTTTCAGAACAAAGTGGAGGATCGTGCTCTTAGAAATTATGGGCAAGTAAAATAAAGACAAGGGTTTTCAGAATGGAGTCATAATGAATGCAATACTTTGAAGGACTAATATTAAAAAAAAGAAGATTTAACAAACAATCTCTACTTTTTAGGCTGAAAAGAGTTTTGCTGTTGTTTAGTCACTCAGTCGTGTCTTACTCTTTGCAACCGCATGGACTATATAGCCCACTAGGCTCCT